CGTCGTCGGACTTTTCAGCTTGAGTTTCTGAATCGGTTACTAGTAATTCACACTGCGGCGGAAGTGCACCCTCTAAATATATAGGCGTTGGCGGCGTTTTTTCTCTTTCAACATTACTGAAACAGAAATAATACAATTCTATGAATCATGAAAATACTGAAATCAGCAAAAATATAGAAAAAAGAGAGTATGTACCTTGGTGTAGGAATAATAGGTGTGGTGGGTCTGCTACATTTCTGTCCACTTTCACAACTGGCTGTCATCTCCATACCCATGACTTTAACTGTTGGCGATTGTTCTGCTGTATCTAACTCTTCGCCTTCCCTGCTATGTGATTCCTGGTCTGCTGTGTCCTCCTATAAATTAAATACTTAATATGTCGTTCTCTCATTATGTGCTTCTCGTACGTTGATTTTTTTACATATCTTTCAAATAAAAATATAATAACACATGTGCAGTAATAATATCAAAGCCATTTTTTTACTGATTAATTTGATATAAGAGCTATTTTATATACACAAATTTTTATATAACTAAAACAAAAATTATTCAGAATTAAAAAATATGCTATGTTAAAAATTCTACATCTATTTAAAAAACATAATTCAATTTATTATAATTATATGTATATACGAGTCGTAAAAGATGTCATATAAATCCACATATATAAAATTTTTTTTAACATATTATATATTTCATAATATGCTCAACAAGATATAAAATAAGCAGATATCATGCAAGGCACACAATTAGCACTTGTAATTGAGAAGCTATGGGAGCAGCAACTACTGTTTTACTTATATTTCAACAATATTTAGCATTGAGAAAAGTCATGTATATCTTTACTTATGTGAAAGATAAAATGTAAATGATAATAGCATTCTACACTTAAAAACACTGAAATACTGTTACTGTAGAATCATGTCATAATGAAACTTTAACTATCATATACAAGCCTAAGAAACATTTAATGTGACAATTTCATTATTAATTCGTGAAACTAGTGCACTAGAAATAGAAAGTGTTCCACAAACTCTTGGTTACTCTTGTTAGGAATATTTTCTGAGGCAAGGAATATACCTTAGAACCGCGATCGACCCCTGCCAGACCATTGGATTTTGGAGACCCATCTACTACTCAAAATGTAAAATATACAATGTGAATTCTGTTTTTCACTGAACGCATAATTCTGATTTAAAATTTTAAATGTTTGTATTGAATATCGCATTCGACTGACAGAACATCAATATATGAATCTTATATAAATTATAAAACGTTTAAACCAACAATTTGTAATGTCGCAACAGTTATCCGCAAGCATCGACATTTGAAAAAAAAGCCAAATATTGAAGATAAAGTCTTATACTAAATGTACAACATGTTTAATGTACATTGGATGGGTCAAGCTTGTAACGCAATCAGAACACAGCGACGTGCACATTTCTAACGACTAATAAACTGAAACTGTGAATGGCGTTCAAAATTAATCTGATAAACCTTGATTTCTGGCTGAGGGCTCGAGTTATGCATTACTGAACGTGATATGTTGCCCATCTGGACAACGATTCTTTCCATGGCTGCTTCCGTCTCGACCAATCGCTGTCTCAGTTGATCTATCTCTATGTCTCCTGCCGCTTCTTGTGTTCCAGCATGTAGAACATTACCAAACGTGTTCAGAATATAAGTACGAATACTTGCAGTATGCAGTATTTTTTATTCAGAGTCTTGCAAATGTATATCCGCGTGTGTATAAAATACGTGTGTGTTCTAATTGTGCAAACCTTGCATCATGCAACACCACTTAAAAATCTGCTTAGATAGCTCAAGGAAACATGTATCTTAATTCTAAATATTTCCTCGAAAGAAATAGCTCCTCATAAGGACATTGCGTTGATGATTAATGTAAATGAAATATGGTTTATGACAAGTAAATATATTTGCGAAAGCACTTACGATCGTTTAATTCCTCGATAGTCGGAGCAGCCCTGTGCGGTGACCTTTCTCTGTAATGCAGGGTACCTCCAGTCATTGCAGTAGCAAGAGCTTCTGGACTGAATACCATTTTCCGAAATTCCTTCTCAGCATCTGCTCCCGGGTAGTCCGAAATAATCTCGCTGTCGGTATTCTTCTTCAGAACCTGTTCATGTAATAATAAGCCTTAAGACTTCATTGCATCCAACATTTTTGTTTAGAATTATTCTGCGGATTTATATATTACCTTAACAATGGTATACACGAAAAACAAGACTATCCCTATTGTGTACAGCGGCATTATAATTCCCATCGTACCGTTTCCTTTGGGTGCTGGAACAACGTGACCGGCGCCACCGAGAGGTGGCCTCATTTTTGGTATAACTTGGTCAGCAGACCTGTCCATTACTATCTTTGGTACAATATGAGAAGTTGGTATGGCCCTTCCCCTTTCTCTCAGCGCAGGATGCATTCCACCTGCATGAGGAGGAGTACGACGTTCTTGCGGTATAGTATCTGCATATGTAAAAAAAAACTTATCTGTAAATTGTATGCCATTTATCTCAATTCACCAAAATGTATTTATTTTATATTGATGTCCTGGAGATTAGTAGGATTTTGCGTTAAAATGGCTACAATATGTAATTAATACTTTATTAATTTAAAAATCAGAAAAACTGTTATAAACGTATTGAGCTAGGTAATCTTAATGAAATTGTGGAAAATATTGAAAATCAGAATAAGGAGAACAGAATAAGGAGAATCTGTTCTTTATCGCTGCACTGGACTGCACTAAAACTTTCTATCTCACTTTTGTCAAACTTTAAATAGATATATCTATTTTACGTTAAGTACCACAAGTGTATGCCAGTGTACCCACAAAGAACAGATCTGATGGATCATTAGTAATGGATGTACTTGAAACTGACTGTAGGCCAACCCGCTTGTCTGCCAAGCGTCACGCTTACTTTTTTGGCATTCAGCCAAAACAAAAGTGGATAACTCAAATCTGTTTTCCATATATACTCGATGATGCGTTAAAGGCATAATTCTCCATGTTTATCTTATTATATAAGTTTACAAGTCATGTGGTCACCACGTGTAATTAACTAACTCGAATAATAACAAAGCGTCATATCAAACTGTGTTATGAAAATTACAAACCCACATATTTCAAAAAATATATTAAAATATATTAAAAATATATTAAAATATATTAGGGAAGCAGTTACAAAGAGGGAGATTAGTTATTAGTTAATCATATATATATATCCGAGTGGCATGACAAAATTTAATTGGTTTAGCAAACTAGTGGTGCTCAACTCTCGTATATCCTTGCAATTCTTACTGTGCGGCATCAAGATGTGGTATCTGATAAGATGCGGCGTCCCTAACTGCGACAGTGGCACACCGAAATTCATTTTAAGGCAAAGGGAGCTATTGAACGATCTAATTTCCTCCAACACTTGCTTATAGGTCTTCCCCAGGCTTTCCCTCTCGGCGAGGAAAGACGACAGGTCTATGCCACACCTGGCCAGGACCTCCTCTCTACACAAGCTCGCGGTCTGGGGGGTCAGCTTGCTAAGCTTTAACGCGTCTCTCACGCGTGGATCAATCGGATGATGCCTCAATATGTTTTGACACATCTCCTGCATGATGTCCACCGCGGTGACATCACTTTCAAATATCACTTCGCAGCACACTGCGCAAATATGAACAATAATACTCCTTCAGTAGATTTCGAATCAATCAACAAGCAATGATTTTTGACACAAAGCATCATAGAAATACTTCTTTCTCCAAAGCATTTTATTTAGATAATTCTTATCTAACCGTTGAATTTCTGCGACACGTGAAAAGATAAGTTTATACAGATAAGAGGTATAATATTCCTACGATAACGCGATACGATTGCAATCGACTTTTCTAACGTCAATACGTGGTATCTTGGGGGGGCGTAGAATCTTGGGGGAGCCTTACCCGAGCTGTCCGATGCGGAGTGATGTGGAGTGACAAATCCTATGAACATAGGGTGAAGAATTTTCGGCCACAGCACCGTGAAGCAGCCGAACACGATCGCGAGTATAAAAAACGTTTTTCTCGGTCCGAAGTCCGTTATCTCGGCCATTTTCGCAGTGGTTTCCGTCGTTCGTAAAAATTTCGCGCTTCGAGTAAAACTTCGATAAAACTATGAACGCAGATCGCCTCCTCCGCGCTCACGCACAGATAACCGTGAGGAGGCGGGACGGCGGCAGACGACGGCTGCCGCAGCAGCACACTGTCGTCTGCTATTTTCGTCGTGTCGCGGCAGGGCCGTGTCCAGGCGCCACGTTGTTGCGCCACTAATTTTTCTTCCAAGTTTCAAAAATTCCGCAAAATTATTGCAAGACTTTGTGTCACGCACAGATCACTGAAATTGAGATAATCCTTCAGGTCTCGCGCGAATGTTGAGTATTTTTTAAGACTACACTAATGATTGGGTGGCAAGAAAACTTTTTTAAAAGATTTTTCAAAAAATTGACATGTAAGAAAAGATGTTAAGAAAAAGAGAGATAGAATTTTACAAAAATAAAATATTAAAAGTCCTTTCGTTACATAATATTGTTTTCAAACTTTACTGCATTCGGAGAACGTAAAAGAGCGCTTTCAATCCAACTCATAAATCACAGACTTGCAGACTATTAGTGCACGCTCCTGCCTCGTTAACGGCGATGAATCAAAGACAATCGAGAATAGTGATTTATTTTAGGTCCACGGTATTTATATCTCGGAAGATCGCGCAATCGCAGGGAATCGTGAAATAATCTCTTCTCGCTTCAGCTATGAGAGATGCAAGTAGAAAATCGTAATCTGCGTGCGACGATTTGTTTTATTTAGATATTACTCTTATTGTCGTATAGATTCAAAATCAACAGGCATCGACTGTTACTGGAATGAGCTGAAAGTTGTGCCAGAAATAGCAGGCCCTGGCAATGTCACAAGAGACCTTGCCCGATAGGTGGCTGATGTAAATATGAAATAATACTTGCAGCTTGGGAACTCTCTGGCCACGTCCATTTATTTTAACAACACATTGCACCGAGTCGGTCAATAACAAAGTTAATTAAATACGGAGTTTACGGTTTATCCTAAATGCTTTGCGCTGCAAAACTCACTCCGGTCCGCCACGCTGAAACAAGAAAGTACATGTACAAGATTCGACTTAAAATAATATAAAAAATTTATAAAATATAGAATAGTATAAACAATTTTTTTTTACATACAAGTTAACTTTCAAGATTAATGTCAAAAATAAAAATAATGCCTAACAATGAATAATTGTTGAAACTTACATTGATATATTCGATTTCCTTTTGATCAATCGGCTGTCTCTGAAATCGCGGCGGCAAATTAACATCTTCTATCGTCGGTAGAACGATCACCTGGGGGCCCGTCGCACCTCCCGCGCTCTGCTGCATCTGCGCCGATCCTGATCGCGCAGATGGCGCGGCCGTCGTGCCCGCAACTGTTAACCAACAACGCGAATCACGAATTTGTCTGGGGCGGGGGAGATGAACGCTCATGCTTAGATCAACGATCGCTCCACGCTGATTTTTGTCTGCCTTACCTGCGCGATTGCTGCCGCCCTTGCGGAACTTGATCATCGGCACGTGCGGCTGGACCACCTGCGAAAAGACGGCGTCAGTAGCTGTGGCCGAGTCGCATTATTGCGGGATCGTCGCTTTCCGCGCGTTGTCACGCCGTCGGAGCGACCCTGTCGACGCGTTCCAGCGCGGATCCGCGGTACTGACCTTCCAAGCCTTGCTTGCCATCATAATTTTTTTCTGTAAGAAAACTGCCGCGCGAGAGATACCCCACGACTAATTTCGTCCGCAGCAGAAGGGCTCCTCTCGATGCATCGCATCGATATACAGATGGCGCTTTTGCACACCTTCCTGCCGAACCGCGAACGTTTCGCAACGGCAGTCGGTAGCCTCATCATGGCTCATACGGTAGAGAGGAATGAGCGGAATGAGATAAGAGCGTACGGGATTTTACACGCGCGCGTTCTAACTGCGAAAATAGATTTAAATTCTGACACACGACCGAATTTATAATAATCAATATTTTTCAGATTTCGAGGATACTTATAATTATTTCTGAACTCCATTACTGTACTTTATTTTTAATTAGGAGATATAATTAATTAATTGTAGTCTTAGGCCTGATTGGACCATTATATATTTCGTCCTTAAGCGAAGCTTAAAATTTAAACCTTGAGAGAGAAAGAAAAAGAAAGTCTTCATCTTTGCTTATGCAAAATAATGTTGATGCCATTGGATTTTACAATTAGCTCTAAATAAGTTTATTGAATATATAACTGTAAATATAACAGGAAAAAGATATTGGATATTATGACTCAGAATTCAAAATAATTCTTTTAATTTAAAAAAATAAATTCTTTTAATTGTATTGTATTTTTTACATTCAATTGTATATATATTATTTTGCTTCAATCTTTTTATAATTCCTATTTTATTGCTATTCATTTATTACTATAATTAATTTATTATTCTGCAAGTAATATTATTTGATATCCCTATGCTAGTATATACAATTTATGTGATTCAAAAACTGCATTTTATTAAAAAACAAAATAGGCTCATTTAAATAATAAACAGTGAATTATACTAAAAGAATAAAAAACTGAAAAAAGCTTATGTTACTTCACTTCGCTGATATTGGATTCATTTCTTTTCTACTTCTCACAGTACAATATGTTACATTAATAATAATTAATAATAACAAAAATATTAATATCGATGTTATTTTATTTAATATTATGACACAAAAGAAAACATTATTATGAGATCCATAAGTACGCTTGAAAATTATAAATGTTTTTTTTCATATTTTATTCTTTTTTCTTTCCATTATATCGAAAAATTTCATGAATTTTTATAAAGCCTGTGCAATTTCGTGAATAATTGTAATACAATGTAATAATTCAACATGCACATGCATGTTGAATCAAGGACACAATGTAATTTTTTTTAAAATTAATAAATACGTTATATATTTATAATTTAAATATTTCTAAAAGAGTTCTCCAGAGATATTAAGTTCAAGCTGTCAGAAATTTAGATTCATTGGTGTGAAGACAATTTTCTATACATTTTTGAGATTGAGAATAGCGGATAATTATTTTATCACAAATGAAAAGCTAAAAATTATTAACAATAATAATAACTCAGTTGCTATATATTAAAGAGAATATAATATATTTAAAAACGTGATACCGTACCTTAATTTACTAGACTTCACTTTTTATTTGATGTCAATTCACTTCGAGATACAGTAGGCGATGCAGCGTCGATTAGTTTTAAAAATTTATTCGTATGTTTTGTTCGTAATATAAGATTGAGTAAAGCGCATTCTCTTTATATAAATATATAAAAAAATATACATATATATATTCTTTGTGATAATATAGAGAGAGAAATACATTAATATGTATTAATATACATATATGACTATACATATATACATATATTACTTTTGTATATACATATAAATATATATATTTACATTAAATAATTATATACATATTATATAATATGTATATAATTATTTAATGTAAATATATATATTTATATGTATATACAAAAGTAATATATGTATATATGTATAGTCATATATGTATATTAATACATATTAATGTATTTCTCTCTCTATATTATCACAAAGAATATTTTAAAGTTTAAGAACATTTCGACCTGCTTCCTCGTTGCGACCTGATCGACTTCTAGCGACGGTTTGACTTGCGAGCATCATCCAACTATTTACATTTGTTTCGTTTGTTGACGCGAGAATAAGTTTGCACGCGTCTGTAGCATGTCCGGAAGTCGTCAGAATCGCACGATCATTCGTTTACCGCTCCAACAGTTATTCAATATATTAATATTTTATCGACAATGATTGAATACCCCTTTCGATTCAAGGGGAACGACCTTTCATTTTTCTCGAAAATACATGATTTTTATTTTGTTGTCCATAGATCGATTTTCTCGATGTTATAGATAATTAAGAAAATGATCTACGTAGCAATTTTATGATTCAAATAGATTTAGTCATTTCTTAATTACGAAACATGAGAATTAATATCAGTTATTAAACGAAAGAATATTTATTAAAGAATTACATAATATATATTTGGCGTATATTATGTTCGTGGCATGCGCCACATTTTTTAATTACAAAAATATTAATGATGCACAATAATTAACCCATACTTTCTCTCTTTTTTTGTCTCATCCGACATCGTGGGGTCATTCGCGTTTTATGCTTCTATTAAAGGGCCAAAGACGATGAAGTGCGTAGAGTAGTTGTGCACCAGCACAACTTTCGAAAATGTTGAAAAAATTGTGCACTCATCGTTTGTAAAGATTGTTATCGTATCTATTGCACATTTGAACGACATTTGCAACATTGGAATTTCACATGGAGTTTGCAGGTGATATTATTACTAATGATTTGAACACCACTTGAACAGCATTGTGTCGCTACCAAGTTCGTCCCCTAACACTCCGCCCTGAAAACGCACTAGTTTTTGCCAGCCAATAACATATTATCATCTCGCCCCTCCACACTCGGATTTATCTCTTTGTGATAGCTTTCCACCATGAAATAATGAAGCTCCATAGGCGACGTTTCGAAGCGGTACAGGAGATCGAGACAGAATGGCAGACATGCTTAACGCTACAGAAAAAGAGACTTTCAGAGAGCGTGTGGAGTAACTGAAACATTTAAGTCATTGTAACACAGTCACAAGGGGACCACTTCGAAGGGGATGGAGACCAATTGTAAACAGAGTAAATCTAAAATTTTTTATATCGGGAAATTTTTGATACCTCGTATAACGAACTGTTTTCTTTTATAGCGAAAATACGAGGGACGCTGAGCAGATATAAAAGCATTTATGCAGTGTTTTCGAGCAAAAAATAATACCTCTGAGTTAATATTGATTTATTAAAAAATAAAACGAAGATTTTACATTAACATTAGGTGAAAGCACTTTATAAATAAGAAACTTCGATCGGCTAAACTCTTCTTACAGCACTATAATATGCTGCCCTCTGTAGTTGGTACAATATATTCAGAACTCTGTCACTAGTATAATAAAAGAAAAAATGATATTTTATATAATCTTTTAATTATACATTTTTACATATTGCAAATTTTTCTTTGACGTAAAATTATTAATGCTTATAAATGTTTATTGGCTTTATAGATATATGTGTATGTTATATTAAACTTAACTTTGACAAATTTTTCGGAAATGATATGAAAATAAAGAAAATCTTCGAATAAATTAAACATACGTACGAAGCTATTTAATTGTTAATATTTATCTCTGATATAATTTATTTTTTTAATCTGCCAGAGATCCCTCGGTAAAGTTTTAATTCGATGTAAGAGGAAAAAAGGAGCTTTTATTATATTAATTGATTTAAATGCATCAGAACTAATACATACATAAAAGACTTCTGTGACGAATAATTATCAGTATAATTATCGCTCGTCTTTGTAAAAAATAAGTGTTATAAAAAAGAAGAAAAGTTTGGTTGCCACTCCTCGCGCCTTCGGATATTCTATTTATAAGAATATCAAAGAGTTTTCACGGCATCGTTTCAATTTCTATGTACAATTTAAACAAAAGCCAGTAGTTTTTCCTGCAATATCACGCCGGACGTGTTCGTTCCTGTGGTCGCATATACATATGTATAATTGGTAAACATATCCTGGCTTCTTTATTGTGGGAACCATCGTCGTCACGCACCGTGTCGGCACACACTTAAAATGTAACGTTTCATAGGCACAGCGTGTGTTTAATGAAACAACTCGTTCCTTTCTCGAGTCGTGCCTCCGTTGCGTTAATGCTATACACGAATCTTTGCACTTCTGCAAAAAAGTTGAACGGCATTGAATTAAATCAGCTGTCCGTCATGAGACTGCTACAGAAATCGCACTTACATCGTGTAATAATAATAAGATAAACAAAAGCAAAAATACCATTAACAATAGTCACAGGACAAATAAGCATAATATTAAAAAAGAAATGCTATTTCGAAACTAATAAAATTATTTCGAATTAAAATAAAACTTGACTCTTGCAGCAAAATCGAAATGCCACTCGAAAATGACAATTTTGTATTACAGACACTATTCCAGCGATGTTGAATTTTAATCGCGGATCGTTCGACAAATTTGAAGTCGGTTTCTCTCTAATCAAAATATCGACTGGGACCACGCTTTACTTTAAGTCTCGACAGATTCGAAATTGGGACGTCCCATCCCATCCATTTGCGACAATTCCGACGCGATATCGTGACTTTCTCCAAAGCGATTATCGTGACTGCAGAAATTGTCTTCAGCCGCGTGATGACCGCGTGATGTAGGTGCGAAATAACGCGCGTCTCTGAAAAGTCCTCCTCCTCCTCCCCTCTCGCGCCCCACCTCTCGACAGGCCGGTCACGAGCAACCGGCACTAACAACAATTACAAATGCCCGGCTCGTAGTTTCGTGAGAGCGCGAGGGGAATACAGAGAGGCGTGTACAACAGCTAGACGACATTCGCATATTCGCGCGTCGCGATTGCGGGACCGGCGCGGCGGCACGGCGGGTGTCGCTTACCTCTTTATGGATCCCCCGGGTGTTTGCCCGGGTCCTCGTATATATGTATACGCCGGAACATTCGGCCCATTGTAAAGGGCCCAACGGCTGTAAATTGCGCGCGCGCGGCTAACAATACCGTAGAGATCCTTCCTATTCGAGAACGTGGGAGAGGAATGATTTCGGGGACGTACGAGCTGCTTTATTCGACACGAAAAGAATCGGCCGCGCAACCATGATTATATCTCAACGTACAAATTTCCGTCGAATCACATTGC